GAATAAGAAAAAAAGATAAAAGAAGAAAAAAAGATCTATATGTGTGCACAGTGAGCGGTGAGAGTACTCGAACGGCGACACGGTATCGACGACGCGTTACGCGAGGATCGAAACACCATAAAATAAAACCGATTTCGCTAGAAAAGGAAAAAGGGGGAAAAATCAAAAGTTACGAACATGTGCATCTCGTATTTTTCGAAAATCGAAGAGACATATGGATACAATTTTATTCGTTAAAGCGTATTATACAACTGTTTTGTCGTGATTCGTAGGATTTTGTAATTTTTGTGGCCTCCCTTGACGAACGTTCTATGTACAGATTAATTTCATCTGAATCGTTTGCGTGGATTATGAATTTTCGAACGTTGCAGTTTCTTCTCAGAGAACCGGCAACGTACGATTTTCGCGTGGTAACACGTTCGACCGTTCCGTCGTTCGAATACCTTCGTCGCTCACTGTACATATATATAAATATAAATAAATATATATATACAAATATATATATATATATATATTATATAAATATATAATATATTCTGTCACTGCGTCGATGGTAATTATACGTATGAAAGAAAGACATTGTGATTCTGCATGTGAACGATGATGAGTGATTTGTACGCACTGGTGCTTTGTACGATTTAAGCTTTAGCGTGTTATTGGTTCGGTTCGACTCGGTTCGGTACGGTTCCGGATTCCCAACGCAGATAGCACGCTCGATCCCCTATTCCCCATTTCCGTTCACGGCGATTGCTCGATTACAGTATTTCAAACTTCTTCGACGCCTCTCGAGCGGCTCGCGCTGTTGCTATACTCGTCGCTAAGTATTTTTACCGAACTACCTTCCCTACGTGAGAACAACAAAAAACGATACTCACTATTCCCTACAAACATGTCGCGACTATAAAAAGTACGTACAATAAGTTGATAAAATTCGTTTCCACTTTTCTACCACAGACGTTCCTTCTCTTAACAAAATTGTCTACGTTTCACTTCTCAAAAAACTGACGAACTCATGAACTGCTATCTATAAATTTAATCCCACGCCTCTTCTTTTATCATTTTTCCATTAGAAACATCTTTTTTATTATATGAATGTCTGTATAAAAATTAACGAATTCGTGTTTCTTACTTTCTAATAAACAAGACTCTTTGATTGAAATATATTTGCAAAGTGGTCATGGAACGCAGACCAATGAGAGGTTGGTCACATGCCCAATCCAGCCGCCATTGTTCCTTTCGCGCAATTCGTCCTAGAGGCGAACGAACAGTAAAGGAGTTTCTCATTGAAATGTTCTAAAAAATGAGTGAAATATTTTGCGACGAGTGTAGAATAAAGTCCCCAGGATCGTCTAACCTCAAAAAACGACCCGCGGGACACGGTCCTAGTAACAGGACGAATCGTCGAGAGGTCTCGTTGGACGTTCGAACAAATATGGAGGATCGGATGTTGGCCCCGACACGCCGGACTCGATCGTACGTGGTCGTACGCGTCCGTCGGATTCTACGTGAATTCTATTTTTGTTGGCGCCCACTACAGAGGCGTCGATTTTCCGACTCCTCTGCTCCGTCTCTCTCTGGTCGTTCCCAACTTGCAATCGGTCGAACGTCACCCACGCAATCAACTCCCACCCCCTCTCAACCTACAGTTACCCGCCCGATTTTGTTAACCTTCGTCTGCCCCGACTCTCGTTCGATCTCCCTTTCCCTATTTTACGGGGTGATTCGTTTCGCTCAACGGTCTTGAGTCGAACCCGTCGTTCGTTTCGCGTTTAAAATGTTGATTCAACCGGGTACCCGATGTACCCGCTTAATCGCATAGATGAAAACTATTTATGTTCCGAGAACTTGGGTCGATAAGAATTATTCGAACATATGAAAATGATCGTAATTTCCGACGAGTTAATGTTAAGCAAAAATTAGCCGGGTAGGCGGGTACTTCGGGTACCCGGATAGATAAATAGACGAAAAATACTCAAACAAATACTCGGATCTTGTACAGATCAGAACTATTGGAGTGTCAGACGAATGTCAGACTTCCAAATAGATATTATCCAGGTACTTGGAAATCGGGTAAACGAAAATCATTTGGTTTTCTGGATTATGGAGTACGTTAGAATTGTGGATGATCTCAGATAAGTACTTGAGCATCGAGTAGACAAAAAATGCCTTGATACCCGTCTCCCGATTAGATGAAAATTTGCCGGGTAGTCGGGTACCAGGTACACAAGTGATACTCCCACAGAGAAGATGGTAAAAAATCTCGACTCAGTGGCCTACCGACTTATGAGACATTTTAGAACGCTACCGGTGATGATCGAAATAAGGCCGGGAAGTCGGGTAACCGGGTACTTTATGAATCAACAGCCCTATTCGATATAAAATAGGGAAGATTTCGAGGGGATGGTGCCCTAGTTTTTAAAAGTCACTGGCGACCTCTTGAATGGACGAAGAATCGGGGACGGGTAGAATTCTTGTCTAGCTAGAGCGAATAGGAGATTTCAGTTTTAAGGGAAAGGCGTCGTGACTTTTACAGCGACCCGATATATATTGTGATATATTTATTTTTATACACTTAACGTCACGAGATACGGGAACGTACGTCTTAAGTCACTGTACAGTATTAGTTCGTGTGTTTCGATCGTCATTTCAAAGAACAATGAATTACAAATTCACCGACTTGTTCTATTGTTCATTCGTCTAGTTAATTAGTTTAGCTCGGTGCAACTAGTTTCACAAGGTGATTCGAGGTCGTCGAGTTGTACACGAGTTGCTGAAATGTTTGTCGACCATCTCAGATCTCTCAAATCTTCGACCTTCGTATCTCAAAACAAAAGAAAACAGAAAATTTCGGTTTAAGTAAAAATTATTAAAAATTAAATATCACGAATTGAAGACATACGAGGGTAATTTCCTAAGAATGTATTTTCGTTCTATTATATTCGTATAGATAATTACGAAAATTATATATTATTTATAACAATTAATAATAATAACAATTAAATGATAATATTTAATTGTTTAATGATTTCAATAAATTGTTCAATAAATAATATTATAATATTCAATTGTTATTATTCATATTACTAGTAGCAATTAAATAACATATTATCAACAACTGCGTCGATAGTCCGAGAAACACGAACGTTTCACAACTCAGTACAAATGAGTCGCCCCGTATACACCATCCTGTTCTCTTCCAAGATCCCTTGGTCCCTCAAAGGTCCCGCCATCTTGCTTGTAAGTCCCACCAACCCCAGAGGTTCGCCGAAGCGTAATGCAGGTCCAACCGAGGCTCGTTTATTTACAAAAAGAAAAAGAAAGAAAAAAAAGGAGAGTGGAACGCTCGCGAACCGGCGGCCGCGTCTCTCATCGAGTCCGAGAACACGGATGACGATTCGCCGAATTGAACGAAAGCTGTACCCCCGTAAAACGCGCTCACGTCCGCCATTAACGCCGGAAGTCGATTCAGCGAGGTGAGGAGAGGCACGATACAAAGACGAAACAAAAAAGAAAAGAAAGAAGAGATGAACGATACAAAAGAGAAAACAAAAACACAAGCAACAACAAAGATCGAATAAGAGTTCAACTGTGTTCGTGTGTATATACAATACGATTATGTAAAACGTAGTCTTTATAAAAAAAAATGAAAGAAAGAAAGAAAGGAAGCAAGGAAAGATACGGAAAAGAACATTAAGGTAACGACTCGAGAGTGGAGTACTCGATTCACAGTATTCTCGGGCGAACGTTCGCGGATCATTGTTTTTAAGGGGTTATCAGACGCATTCGCAGGAACAGGTTTGCATTTTTCACTCAAAAAAACTTGAAAAATTAACGGGGAAATGTATTTTAATCAACAAAAGATTGTATCGTTTCGCCAATATCAAAAATTTCTAAATATTGTCTCCGAAAATAAAGTTTAAATCTTGAAAAGTAATTCTGAAAAGGGCCCGAGATAAAAGTCGATGGATTAGAAAGAAATAGTCAACAAACCAAAATTTTGCAAAAATTTTAACCATTTTCTGTCGTGCCTGACAATATAATCTGATATTTGAATATCAAAGAATCTTCAAATTTCATTGTATACTTAAAAAAAGTTTCCAAGTTTCCTTTGTTAATTTTTTGATGGATCAAATTAACTATCCCCAAAAGAGAAACTCGATTAAAATCGAACAATTGGATTATCTTTTAGTAGCCTGCGACATGTGATAACCCTTTACGAATTCGCTCGCGGCACAGTGTATTATAACACACGTCCTGTACATTCTCTATGTTTTGTAAGAGCCCGCAATCTTCGAACGCGATAATAATACGCTGTGCGTGACCTAACCAACCGGCATCGCGGTTACGCGACGCGTACCCAAGACGATCGTTCTATATTTACTGTTTATAATGTCCAGCAAAATTATAGCCGGTGGACAAATTACACCGAACCCGT